AATTCGATTATTTGATGGAGTAGTTGAGTGTTGTAATACTCTATTTGGATATAGCAGATTGGTGATGTAATATCCATGAAGAATTGCTCTCTTGTGTTCAGGAGTATTAATGGTGCACAGACCCTGATCAACTTGGACATATCCCGTAGTTAACCTCCACCCATCACTGAGGGATCGGGGATGGATGGTTCAGGATATAGTCTGGTATAAGTTAGGATATCTGGATATAAAAAAAAAGCAATGAATTGTTAACATGATAGTATGTGAGAAATCAGTTATCTATATGCATGGGATTTTTCTATAAGATAGTTTGACTGGAGAAGCAAGAATATTTGACATTTCAGCAATGAACTCAAGCTTACCGCATAGGGGTAGGTTGACCTATGAACTCCTCGTAATCCATTTCCTTCTCGAGGCTTTCAAAAAGTTGTCCCATATGTTAACATTTATCAAATTTTTACGTCCAATGATTATTAGAGATGAAGAAGAAATAAGTAAGATATTCTCAGCGAGCATCAAATTGATTATATATATTTTCTTCGCATTATATATCTAAAGGATATATCTTCAATTTCGACTATAATTAGTATAGATAAATAATTCGTAATTTGGTTCCCATTTATACTCAGGAACCAGCTTTCTTTCAAGTGCACACAACTTTATGTATGCGCATATACATAGGAACGGATCCAGAAAGTTAAGTGAGATAGAACGATCGTTGATCATTAATGCAATAGCAAAATTATTTGTTAATATTTAATTAAATAATATTACAAAAATTCTTCAATATAAACATAAAAATCATATGCATACGAATATATAATAATTATTAATTATACTCCCTCATTTGCGTGATAAATAATAAGAGATAGAGAATATAGATTCTTTTGTATCTCAATTCAAAATACATTCATCGTTGAAAATTCAACAATCCAAAATAACAAGAAAAAAATACATTTTTTGAATCATATAAGCATGATCAAGTTTCAAGTTTTTACGAAAGTGAAATAAAATGAAATTTATACTTAAAATATGATTAAGCGGTAAATACAAGTTTAAAATATTGGCGAACCTTATACCAAAGTTTTTAAAACAATGATTTTTAGAACTATTTTTAACAAAAAAAAAAAATTGTATTTTTCGAACTCCTAAAAGAATAAAAAGCATTACTTAGATTATCTAAATTTAAATTTTACAAAATAAATTGATAAANAATTGATAAAATCTAACAATAAAAGCATATATTATGCATAGTTATCATACTTGATCCGATCGTTAATTGAAAAAATCATTGGGTCAGCGGTTCAATCAATGGGTCATTGCAAGGTCGAATTTTAGTTATAAAAAAAAAAAAAAAATTTAAACAAAGACTATTAGTTTGATATACAAATATTTCTTGTTATGTTTATTAATCTACAATTGTTATAGTGGTCAATCTTTCAATCATCACACGTTGAGCATAGAGTTTGAATCTTATCTATTGCAAACACATTATAAAAGTTTTTTTTCAATCAATTTGATAGCTAAAAAAATTTAAAACAAGGAGGGAGGTTCCTGGAATCGAACGCTACACCTCTCACATAAAAAGCTAATGTTCTAGCTAAGCAACCTCATGTTGAAACTTGATACATTTATAAACATTTAACATAAATTATCAAAACTTTATAATTCTTTTTTTTCCTGGCGGATCTAGTACGGGTGACCGCATCGGCTCCCGGGTGCTGGATCTGCCTCTATATATACATGGTGACTTATGAGGGATTTGACATTCTACAAATCGACTTTGGCCCTATACTGACACTCCTAGAAGGATAGCAGCGAGGAGCGTATGAATTTTATGACAAGGTTGATAATGATGAGAAGCGTGACAATGGCACATGAGATGTAAAATTGGTTTCTGTTCTACAAGGTTTTTTTTACTAGTTGGAGGTCAGTTTGCACGTCTCTTCCTAAGTTTGTATTTTCCTTTTAGTTTTCACTTTTAATAAAAATTCTTTGCCATTTTGTGCATTATATTAAGCTAGGTTGGACATTTTTGTTGACCACATAATGTCCCAACAATTTTATACTTCTCTCTTCTTTGAAGGGTCACACCGTGGAGTGTGACTTATGATGAACAATGATCGCCTCTATGAAAAAAAAGTGTCAAATACTCAAATGAACAAAAAATGAGCCCCGAAATTAGTGAGATTGTTATGGGCTTTCTAATTTGGTTTCTAAGCTAGAAGGATTATGAATTTTGTTGGACTCCACAGAAAATGGGCTTCTCAATTAGGATAGCGCCGTGTCCGCTAAGGATGACCCAGAATGGGTAATGTTAATCTTGACATAACGGGCCCATATTTTACTGGGCCTACTTATACGGGTTCATGTTCTAGCAATATCGAATTCGGGCCCAGTGTTAGCCCATCTATTGTTCACTCTTTCTTCACAACCCATGGTCCAAAGTGGCGCTTCAGATTCTTTTGTTGGGCCTCGTTTAGAACATCACTTGTCCAGGAAACTGTAAATCCGCTTCAAGCCCAAGCAACGAAGAGAAAAGCTTTGGGCCTCAAGTTTGAATAAAGTTCCAGTCATGTCGCAATACCTAACAAGGGTTTTTGCCTCATTCAATTGATTTCAGGTGTTCCAACAAATTCTCGAGTTGGATGACAAATTATTTGAGAATAGAGGATTCCATACCTGTGGACTAACTAGGATGAAGTCGAACTAAGGTCAAGATTCAACCTGGCAAGACTAGACATTAGAGGATTCCATACCCGCGGACTGATTTTCTTGTG